ACAAGAGGCAAGAAAAAGTCTCTTGCCTCTTCGGCAGGTCCAGACTTTTTCCCGGACTCCCTCCTGGCTAGCTGTGGCACACAATCCCCCTCAGGCTGTGTTCACGCAGCCAACCCCAGTCCTCTCCCTGGGATCTGACTGAAGCCCGAGCCTCAGCTCCCAGACCCCGCCCGCCCCGGCAGGTGAGCAGACAAGCCTCTCGGGCTGGTGAGTGCTGGTTGGCACCGATCCTCTGTGCGGGAATCTCTCTGCTTTGCCCTCTGCACCCCAGTTTCTGTGCTCTCCTCCGTGGCTCCTGAAGCTTCCCCCCCTCCGCCACCCGCAGTCTCTGCCTGTGAAGGGCCTTCCTAGTGTGTGGAAACATTTCCTCCTTCACAGCTCCCTCCCACTGGTGCAGGTCCCTTCCTATTCTTTTGTCTCTTTTTTCTTTTGCCCTACCCTGGTACGTGGGGAGTTTCTTGCCTTTTGGGAAGTCTGAGGTCTTGTGCCAGCATTCAGTAGGTGTTCTGTAGGGGTTGTTCCACATGTAGATGTATTTCTGATGTATTTGTGGGGAGGAAGGTGGTCTCTGTGTCTTACTCTTCCGCCATCTTGAAGCTCCTCCCCTGAAATTTATCTTTTCCTTATTGCTAATATCCTTCTTTTCTTTTTTGGCTGCGTCAGGCCTTAGTGCAGCATGTGGGATCTTCCATTGTGGCACACGGGCTCTTCATTTTGGTGCTTGGGCTTCTCTCTAGTTGGTGTGCAGTTTTTTTCTCTCTCTAGTTGTGGCGTGCGGGCTCCAGAGTGCATGGGCTCTGTAGTTTGTGGCATGTGGGCTCAGTAGTTGTGGTACGTGGGCTTAGTTGCCCCACGGCATGTGGGATCTTAGTTCCCTGAGCAGGGATCAAACCCACGTCCCCTGCACTGGAAGGAGGATTCTTTACCACTGGACCACTGGGGAAGTCCCCTTATTGCTAATATCTTGAAAATTCAACATAATCATAATTTTGTTGTAATGTCAAAGTGTATGTTCCAATTGAGAAAACATCCTGGGAGAAACATCCTGGGAGAAAACATCCTGGTTCTAGAGTGTGAGAGGCACCACCATCTCGTACTTGGAAAATAGGGGAAACAGCATCCTCAGTTAAGAGACAAGTGTTATTTAAAGCAAAAAGGATATTCTGAGAGAAGTTGAAAATACACAGAACGCTTATTTACAAAAAAAAAAAAAAATTTCACATAGCACAACAGAAAGAAAGGATAGAAAGTAAAAAATCATAAAAGAAAGAACTGGTAGGAGGGAAGCCAAGAACAGTAAGACAATGATTGCATGCAGATAAAAATATGAGAAAACTATCAATAAATATTTACGGAGTTTTACTATACTTGCAGATACAGAGATGAACAAGAGATTCTTTTAGCCTCAAGAAACTTATAGTCTAGTCAGGGAGACAAGAGATAATTGCAGGTAATGATAAGTGCCACTAAGAGGGTAAAATCGGGGTATATGATCAAAAATAAAACAGGGAAAAAGTTTTACACTTTGTCTAGAGACTAAACATGAGGGGAGGGAGGGCTCTATATAGCTCTGCTTTTAGGTCATTTGAAATTAGCACTAAATGTTGTTTAATGGTTAAAGAACAGGTTATTGATGAGCACTTCCACTGCCTTTCATAAAAAACAGCTTTACTGAGGTATATAATTAATACACAATAAACTGCATGATTTAAATCCACGAGCTAATTTAAAACGTACAATTTGATAAGTTTTGACATCTGTGTGTACCCTGAATAGACCACCACAATCAACAAGATGAACTTGTTCACTCCCAAAAGTTTTCTTGGCCCCTTTGTAATCCTTCCCTCTTATTCCTCACATGTGCCCTGTTCCTAGGCAAATACTGACCTGTTTTCTGTCACTGTATAATAGTTTACATTTCTTAGAATTTTTTATAAATTCATACAGCAAGTACTATATTTGTCTGGTTTTTTTCACCCAAATTAATGATTAAGGATTTTCAGACTGATCTGTGTTGTTGTATCTGTCAGCAGTTCGTTCCTTTTTGTGGCTGTGTAGTATTCTACTATAAGGATATATTAAAATGTTTTATTCAACCACCTGCTCTTGTATATTTGGGTTGTTACCCTGATTTTAGCTACCATAAATAAAGCTGCTGTGAACATTGTAAAGGAGTCTTTGTATGAACATATGCTTTCGTTTCTCTTGGATTTTAATATCCATGAATGGAATGACCAGGTCATATAGTTGGTGAAGGTTTTAACTTTTTAAAGAAACTGCCAAAAAGTGTTCCAAAGTGACTGTACCAGTTTGCATTCTCACTAGCAAAGATGAGATTTCTAGTTACTCCACATCTTTGCCAAGACTTGGTACAGTCTCAGACATTCTATTAAGTGTTATGGTATTCTCATTGTGACTTAATTTGCATTTCCCTAATGACTAAAGATGCTGAGCACCTTTTTCATGTGCTTATTTGCGATCCATATATGTTCTCTGTTGCAGTATCTGTTTAAATTTTTTGTCCATGCTTTTAAAAATTGGGCTGTTTTCTTATTATTCAGTTTAGAGAGTTCTTTAAATATTCTGGATAAAGTCCTTTATCATATATGTTACTTGCAAATATTTCACCCAATCTATGGCTTACCTTTTCATTTGCTTAGAGTGGCTCTCAAAGAGCAGAAGTTATTGATTTTGATGAGAACAATTTTGCTGAAGAACACCATACTTTTGGTGTCATATATAAGAAATCTTGGCCCACCGTCCAAGGTTGCAATGCATTTTTTCCATGTTTTCTTCTAGGAGCCTTATGGTTTTAGAAGTTAAAGCTATGATCCATTTGAATTAATTTTTGTAGATGGTGTGAGGTATGGTTTGAAATTCATTTTTGGAGGTCTACAGATATCAAAATGTTCCAGTACCAATTATAAAAATGACTGTCCTTTCTGAATGAAATTTACTTTGCATTCTGTCAGACATCAAAAGATCATCTATGCATAAATTAATCTCTTGACTCTCTATTATGTTCTATTGATCTATTTGTCTACCTTTATGCCAATAAGATACTGTCTAAACTACAATATCTTCAAGTCAGGTAGCTGAAGTCCCCCAATTTTGTTCTTCTTTATTAAAGTTGTTTTGGCTATACTATGTTATATGTTATTAATATATAATAAGTAAAATTTATAGTGATATAACCTTGCTCATTCCAGATTTTGATAATTTGCTTCTTCTCTCTTTTTCCTAATCAGTCAGGCTAGAGGTGTTCCAATTTCATTAACCTCAAAAACTCAGTTTTTTATTTTGTTAGCTTTTCTCTATTGTTTTCTGTTGCCTATATCATTGATTTACACTCTCATTTTTAATATTTCCTTTCTTCTGCTTACTTTGGGCTTTGCTTAGTTTTCTTTTTCTAGTTTCTTAAAGTAGAAGCTGATTTTCATCAATTTGAAATCTTCCTTCTTTTATATTATAAACATTTTGGTGTCATAAACTTTCCTGTAGCTTTAGCTACATCCTGCAAATTTTGATGGTTTTGTTTTCATCTTCATTCAGCTCAAAATACTTCATAATTTCCCTTTTGATTTCTTCTTTAACTTACGTGTTATTTGGAAATATTTAAAATCCTCTTAAATACTGACTTGCTTTATCACCTACATCTATTTAATAGATATAATATGATCTATTTTGATAAGTGACCCATACGTATTTGAAACCATGTATTCAGCTATTGAAAGATGAAGTTTTATAAATTCTACTTATGTAAAGTTAGTTGACAGCATAGCACAAGTGTTCTATATCCTAAATGATTTTCTATTACCTTATTCTATCAATTATTGAGAGAGCCAGCTTGAAATCTCCAGTAATTTCTGCCTTTTAATTGGAAGGATAGATCATTTATATTTAAAGTGAGTATTGATATGGCTGGGTTTTAAATCTGCCATCTTGCTATTGTTTTCTGTGTGTGCCATCTACTCTTTGTTCCCTTTTTCTTCTTTTTCTGCCTTCTTTTTGGCCTCTCAATGTTTCTCATATATTCAACATATTTCTTATTCATTGTTTAGTTGATCATTAACCTAAGTTTGTGATAAAACATGATTAAACTGAAATATAATCACAGTATATTATAACATTATTTATATTAGGTAAATATTAGTTTAATGTCTTTTATATAGTTGAGTAAAACTACCATTTAATAAAGAATAACTATATATTTTATTAAATTTAGTTTTTGCCAAATACATTACAATAACTGAGGGAGTAACTGTACTGCTATCTTCCTTAGAGAACTTCTATTTTTGCTACTTTTATTTTTGCTAAATGATCCATGGGATAGTTTATGGACCAATGGGATATACCTGATTTAAAATGATAGCCTCCTGATTTCTATACAATACACTCCTTGGTATTTACTTTACTAAGGTACAAGATTCAAACTGACCTATTCGCACTAAGAAGTCAAAATATTCCAGGGTTACGAGATAACACTAAACAAAGCATCATTTCTTTTCCTATAAGATTTTATCAGTAAAATAATGAGGTTCTAAGATTGGCTCCTATTCAGAGACACAACTTATATTCTCTTATTCAAAATATTCTCTCTTAAATGCTGTTATCCATCATCTTAATTATTATAGTGTTACTGAAGAGGTTTTAGTTAAACTGAATTTGTAAGTACACATTAATCTGTACTACTAAGTAAATGTTTTAAAGTTAAAAAAAAAAAGCACATTTTATAAATACATGGAAATATGAGTAGATTACATAGTTATAAGGGGAGTTGTAAAAAGCTCCCTGGAAAGAATGAGAAGTCTTTATGTAGAAAGAGGAAATCTATAAGCCAACAGAATACTAGACTGGGAAGCCTTATGGAATTTTACAATATGTATAACTTTTCGAAAAACTAAAGAAACTAGATAAAAGAGAAAATAAGTATATTATAAATTAAAAAGGAAACAAATCGTCGCTTATTAAAAAAAAAGAAAACCGAAAAGAAATTGTACCTGATCATCATTTTCATCTGAAAAGGTTATTGATGTCAGCTTGTAGTTATTCTTCAATAAAAATTCATTGACTAAGAAGTTTAGAGCTCTCTTTTCAAGAGGTTTGATTGGCTCCTAGAGATAAATAACAGACAGATACAATACTGTAAGTCTTCTTCCTTCAATACTTGTGCTACCATTTCATATGGAAGATACTTTTAGATCTGTCATTCACCCACCTGAATTTCAGGACTTGATTTGTAATTTTTTCGTTCCTGTAAAGGAACTTCGTGTTCTGGTGGAAGAAAATATGAATAATATTTTACTATTTTACATTAGAAAACATCTCAGCTACTTCTACATTGTCAAAGTAGAAAAAGTCTCAAAAAAGTTTATGTACACCACCTGCAGCCTTTGTCAGGTTGGCTCGGAGGGCCTGAATGGTCTCCTTGGCTTTCCGTAGTTCAAACTCCAGGACTGGACAGGGATTTGGAATAAACACACACAGGCATCCAACCAAGAAAAGGGAAACAAAAATAAAAAAATAAAAAGCAAGGATGGGTATGAAAAAAAAATACAATTTGTATTGAAAACAGAAAGCATGCAATCTTTATGAAACTTGTGAACGCATGCAGCAGAGTTGATTTGCAAGCAAACTGGTGAATATTTTCCATAGTTTTAGAATACAGGGGACTACTGATCAAATGTTCCAGCTGTCTGACAAGGAATAGCTCTATTTAAAAGTAAAATCTATGGCATACTCTCCTTTAGGTAAATAAAAATCTTAGTAATTTAGGTGGTTGTGTTTCACTCAGTCTAGGTAAGAAATGTAATGGAATGTTTTCAGGTGACATAATTTTAGGGGAAAAGACAAAAATTAGATGAAGTCCTAGCAAATACACTTAAAGAAAATCTTAGGATTAAAAAAAATGTATTTTAAAATGTATTATCTAGAATAATGTTATAAATCAACATACAGAAACATTAGTGAATATAGTCCTTCATTAAGATGTTGAAAGAACAGGGTTTAAATATTTAACAAATGTGGGATGCCTATCAATTTTTCTACAAACAAGTATGTCTTCTATAAACAAGCACAGATATGTTAAACACATATCTAAAAAAAAGTTCTGAGGGGGTTATTTTAGGTTTCATTTAAAGCCAAAGGATAGAAATAGTTTGTCTTTTAATTTACAATTAAGATCATTCTAAAGCAAATGATTGAGTACAATTCTACAAGTGTGGTAATCTAAGGATACCTAGTAAATTTAAGTAGAATTTCAAAGTTTCTGACAACTCTTCAAATAGATATTTGTTCATAGTAAGAGGTACTAATGAAACTTAAAGATTTCTCCTATTACCACAGAGTCTGATTATAAGATAAACATGAATACTGAGGAGACATTTTAATGAGCTCTTTAAAATGTTTCATCATGAGCAAGATTTAACTATATGTGTCTTTGCTGGGAATTTTCTTTAAAATATATAAATACTGCTCTGAAGAAAAAGCAAGCTTAGATGTGGGGAAAAAAGCCATTTGTGTGAAGTAAAGCTCTGAGAAAATTAAGTGATTTTTGTCACAACTGGATATTTAAAAAAATTATAATTTAAATAGTTCTGCATAAAAATTAGCAAATTTAACACTTTAAAGATGCATTTTTTTCCTCATTGACTAATAAACAGAATAAAGAAGATGGCAAATAAAATGCTATCAGAGACAACAAGGCTATAAAAATATATGGAAAAAATAGAATTCACTCAGTTTGCATATTTTCATTAAAAACTTAAGATGTAACTGAATCACATCTGGTACATTAAAGCCAATTATTTTGATGCACAGAATTTCCCTGCAGCAACACGGAAGCACAACTAAAAATCAGATGACATGTATGTGACTATTTCTTTTTTGTTAGTCAGCAATGCTGATCTGCAAATATTTCTGTGCAACAAAGTTAAAACATTTCCTAAAACTTAACACTTCTGGAAACTCTTAGAGTTTGTGTTTAAAGTCAGACTGCACACATTCAATGTGTTAGGTAAGTACAGAATAGGTTTACTTTTCTTTTTATTTCAAAACTTTAGGTAATTTATTTTGCTTTAAAAGCACTTAACTATACCACAAGCAAAATGAGTATACATATTATGCTTCCAGAATCACTTACAATTTACTAACATATTACAGAACAATTGCAGATCAGAAATGCCCTGCACCAGGATGAAAGAAATATGAAAAAAATAAATTAAAAAAAAACTGGTTAAAACACAAACTGTGAAAAAAACTCAGATTCAACTGGTGAAAGTTTAGGTGACCAAGAGCAAAACACTAAATGATCAAGGCACAGAAAGCCAGAAAAACCCATGTCAGACGGCAAGAATTTATATTTTTATGCACATCTACACATACATTGCCAAATGTCATTAAAAGGTACCAATGCTCTGGAAAGATAGTGCTTATCAAAACGAATTCACTCTGCTGCATGTTTCTTAATATACAATATAGACTTTAAAAGACAAAGGCATATCTTTGAAGCCATAGCACATCTCTATAAAGGCACAGTATGATCAAGTATTTGCAGTTATGTGAGAAAGTTTCACAAGAAAGGTCTGAACAGCTATATTTACACATATATAAATTTGTCACTTCTTCATTAAAAAAATATTGGATTAAATCTCAAAATTTATTATCCTGTAAAGAGATACATTGTACCAAGCAACCTCCAAGTATTTTTCGAATATTATAATTCTTCATAAAAATGTTTGAAGAAGTACTTGTTTTTAAAAAACACTGTAGGAACCAACTACCAGCCTGCTCACTCCACTATTCCAACCCTCCACTAGCCCAACCCTGCTGAATGCAATTTTATTGGAACTAAAGTAATCGCAGACATAGGTATATTCTAATACTGCATATTACAATCTTACCAAAATATTTAATGACTAAGTCAGTATAAGCAATTCTAGATTAGTTGAGATAGTTATTTCCTAAATAGGGTTGGATAATACTGGCATTATATCAGGGGTACTTGAGAGCTTCAAGATCAGGTGCTCGTGACTTGGGATATATACAATTGACCATGTCGAGACACCAAAGGTGCAGTGTTAAATTTCAAAGCAGAAAGAAATATTGATTCTTTGTTGTCCCAACTAAATATATTACTAATATTATCTTGAAATATTTGTTAGTCTTAGTTCTTTTGGCACAAAACTCAAAATAATACATATTTTAGATCTTTCCTATAATACTGATCAGAATCAGTATAGTGGTAATAAAATAATAGTGGTAATAAAATACCACTTCCCTATCCTTAATACTTATTTTATTATCCCAGGAAAGGTTCTGGGAAAAGAGGAAAATTCTCATAAGAATATGAATTAGAATAAAAATATATTCCTAAAATAATACAAAAATCCCCAGGCAGTACCATCACCACTCCTTCTGGGTTTAGAAAATGCTCCCTGCCTATTACAGACCTAAGAAAGGTAGAGGACTGTTACACATGACCTAGCAAATAGTGAGAAATAAATGAAAGGAAGCAAGATGCAATCTCCGTGGTTTGTAGACATTTAGTTTTCTATATTCTTCTGAGGGGGAAAAAATTCCTCCTCCTTAAACTTTAAAAGAAGAAAATTCTTCCCATTATTGTTCCTCCTGCTCAGGTTCTCTTACAGATTCCTCTATCATTCATCTCAAAGTTGGTGTTTCCCAGAGTGTCCTCCCTGGTCCTTTTCTTACTCTATATACTGGGATGATAAACATTTCACTCTTACAGTTTTACTCTCACCAGTACTCTTAAGATTCAGAAATCTTTAAACTTTTTCCCCAAGATAAACAGGGCTACCTGTTTATCAACTGGACATGCCCACTTGAATGTCTCATAAACTTTGAATTTGATCCTATCTAAATGAACTTCATCATCTTCCTCTCAAATCTGTCTTCCCTCCTCCTGCAGTATCTCTTCATTAAGGGCACCACTATCTACCCAGATGCCCAAATAAGAAACCTGGAGATTACTCTTCACTTACCTCTTGCCCTTACTCCCACATTAATTCAATGTCAAGCCATAATGATTCCAGCCCTTGAATCCTAAATAACCATTCATCTCAATTGTCTCTGCAATTGTCCTAGTTCAGACCTTTATGACTTATATAAATTTTAACAATTTACAACTCACATCAAAGGCTTGTTGCCCTTAAAAGCCTTGTTGGAGCATCTATCCTATTTTAAATCATACAAAACCATAAATAAGATTTAAGTAAAGTTGAAAATAAGAAAAACAAAAAGTACTGCAAACAGGAGGTAAAGATTTTTGTACTAAGGAAAAATATATTATAATAAGACAGATAGGCTTATTTAATCCTGATAAAGCTGGATATGTATGCTGCAGCCCAACAGCTAAGGAATGAGAGGGCTACTGATGATGCTTCTTACCCAGGGGGTAAGGCCAGGTTAACCCACAGGCAAAAATTTTAATTTCATTTTAGAATGTTTACTAGATTACGTAGGCTTAAAAAGGCTTCATATGTCTACTTTGTTGTTTATTGTTCCCAGAACAGTATAATACTTTGAATATAGAGGACTCAGCAAATGTTAGTTGTATGAATGGGCATTCCAGTACTTGATGCCATATCTAATAAATCTAAACATCAGTGATCTTACCAGCATTCAGTAGTGTCTTTCCCTGCAAATTGGAAAGAATAGTTTCTGCAGTTCTCTAGATCCCAATACAAAAATTAAGGTATGAACTAGAGAAGTAATACAGTAACAGGTAGAGGTATGAGAACAAATAAAATCAGAGACTCTGATGCTAAAAGATGCATCAGGTGAACCTGAGACAGGGATACAGATGGTTCTAAAATCAACAAGTTCCTTATCACTAGTTCCAAAGTACTGAACATTTATTTGTATTACAGATATAGACAGGTTTTAGTACAAATTCCTTGAGGGCAGAAACTGTCTATTTCATGCCTCTGTATCTAGCGCCTAACATAATACCTAATACGTAGCAGATGCTCAAAATGTCTAATTAAAGAATGGCAATCCCAATATTTAGAACATAGATGTCCCTTGCTATCTTGAAGAAAACTTGAAAATTTAACAGCTACACTGTATGTACACTGTACAGCTTTGTTTAATAACATATAGAAAGGCTTTTACTAAAAAGTCAGTTAAATTAAGCTCATTTTGGTTTGGTGTCTACTAAATTCAGAAGTGGAAAATATTTGAAATGAAATGCTTTTGAAATTTTACTTTTTTGGAAAGAAAATGACTATGTTGAAACAGTCTTGTATGGGAAAGATAAGATTCTGCTATCCACATGAATGTACCGATGAGTCAAAGCTCCAGCCTGGTACTTAAAGATACATTGTGAGCCCTGGAATAAAAACCTATATGTTCACATCCTGATTTTGCCCTTTAGCCATATGGAGGCTACTGGGAAATTTTTTCAATCTTGGTAAGCTTTTCAGTTTTCTGATCTATAAAATAAGGATATCATGACCTATTTTGAAGGATTGTTAACAAGGTTAAATAAGTATTTTATATAAAGCAACCGGAACAGTGCCTGGCACAGAGCAGGTGCTCAATAAACATTTGCCCATTTAGAGATCTTTTCCTCTTTAAAGGAACACCTGTACAGACTTGAAAAAATAACCAGATATTTAAATTTAGGGAAAAGATGATAAGAATGATGCTGAACCCACATGTAGTAGTATATATATGTCTCATAAACAGCAACAGTTTATTAAAGGCTGGAGCAGACCCTACATTTGCATCGTGGGGCAGCGGACTCAATACCTGTATTATCTATAATCTCCTTCTGCCCAAGACTGGTATACGAAAATAAAAGAGATTTTTATTCTTTCTCAGTAAGGTTTACATGTGATCCAATGATAGATGGCAGGATAATTATCTTTTCTGGATCGTTCATTTTTCGATTAGGTTCTAAGTTACTAGCAATGGTTAGCAAAGAGCCAAAAATCTTTTTGTAAATGGGAATTGTGATTAATTGAAATTTTCATCCACGTATCACACATTTGGCTCAATAATAGGCGATGGCACAAGAGCATTAAAAGTCTGAATGCCATTCTCTTGGAATAACATACATTTCCTTCCCTTTTCCAGTGAAGATGGAAGACAGCATTCAGTCACTCATTTACACTGAAGTATAGTTGATTTACAATATTGTCTTGAGCTTCAGGCATACAGCATAGCCATTCGATTTTTTTGTATATTATATTTCGTTACAGGTTATTACAAGGTATTAGGTATAATGCCCTGTGCTACAGAGGGCATTGTTTATCTATTGTTTGTGTATCTATTGTTGTTTATCTATTTTATGTAGAGTAGTTTGTATCTGTTAATCCCATACTCCTAATTTGTCCCATCCTCTCCTCCCTCTCCCCTTTGGGGAACCATAAGATTGTTTTCTAGTCTATAACTCTGTTTCTGTTTTACATTGATATATAGATTCATTGGTATTATTTTTTAGACTCCACATATAAGTGACATCACATAGTATTTTTCTCAAGACAGCATATATTTATACATTAGCATTATATAGTAAGCAAAAATTACTTTATCTCCCCAAACTTAGAGATAAGAGTATAATCTTTAGATTAAAAATATAAGGTCAAAACTACCAAATATTTAAAATATTCACTCTTAGTTATGCTTAGTTATAACATATTGCTTAATTATAACATCTTGCTTCTATATTATTGTTCCCCCTAATTAGAAATACTAAAATACCTAAATACTGAGAGTAATGATGAACCTCTTAAATTTTACTAAGTCTAAAATTTAGGTTTTCAAACAAAAATTAAAGGGAAGAAAATAATTATGTGGTCTATTTCTGGGTAGAAGTTATTTTCTGATACATAACCATCTGAACAACAATACAATATACAAAACTAAATGTATTTGGTTAGTCTCTAATAAACCAAAATACCATGCATTTAATACTTAACATATAACAGAAAACACAGAATAGCTAACATTTACTATATAATTAAATATAACAATGCCACTTAACAAATGATATAATTAGTAGGATAAGTTTGTCCTAAAATTATTCAAATAATTCCCATTTGATTTGCTAATTTTCAGACAGTACTGATGTGATTTCTTTTTTGATACAGCTTTCAATTAATAATGCTTATGACTAAATCATGACTTGATATATGGAGCTGCATTAAACTCTTCCAATGACTTCTCCATTCAATTGATAATGCTATTGTTCTCACTGCTGAATCCTCTCTTAGCCTCTGTTGAACTAAAAACAATTACATCATTTTTTTCCCCTAACTCAGGGAAGAGATTAGGGAAAGAGAGATTTTTTAAACATTCAATAGCTCTATTCTTGAGTAATAAATGAAAACCACATATTGGAATGTCATATTAACCAGGTCAAACCTCATCCTTCATGCTAAGAGGTAGCATACAGTGCAGTCAGTTGTGGGCTCTGCTGCTGGGTTGTCTGCGTTCAAGTCTTAGCTCTGCCACTAAAGTCTTAATAATCTCTGAGTGCCTCAGTTTCTTGGGGAGGGGAGGGTGATGATAATTCTATAACTCAAAGAGTTAATATACATTTACAACAGTGTCCAGAATGGAGCAAGTGCTATATAAAAATTAGCACTCACTTTTATTCATAATGACTATGACAGGCAAACATTTGGTAGGTTTTAACAAACTTGTCCCAGTAAATGGAAGAAAAATATTTCCCTCACAGGCTCCCATCTGTCCCACGTGGCATCCTTCCTGTGCCAGGTGTGCCCACCATTCTGGTGGATTAAAATACCTAACTGATGTCTGTCTGCTTCCCATCTATCTCAGAGTCAACGTCCTATGAAAACTACAATTCCAATAAGACATTCAAAAATTACTTCAATAACAGACAGCCACAGCCTTGAAGCACCAGAAAAGTACCAGTCACTTGACACCTGAGGAGCCAGAGCTGCTACACTGGTAAATCCCAGGGTGGACCCCCAGAAGAATCCAACTGGCCTCATTTGATGTGGGCAGGACACAGAGGGTACAAATTGGTTTTCTGAAGTCCCTACAGATCCAGTGGTGATGCCTAAAAGGCAGAAATGGTGGGAGGATGGAGAGGGGAAGGAGATTGGAATGAGAAACCAAGCAACTAATAAGGATGTTGGCCTTCTTTTTGGAATGGGCAAGGTCCTGGAGGCCCCTGATGGACCAAGCATTAACCCTTTATTTTCTGGATCACAGGCAAGTCAAGAGAAGTTTCTGGAGAGATGCAGTGATGGCCAGGGAGCATCCAGGGAACCAAGCAAAGTTTTATTCACCAACCAGCATAGAAGTATTTAAACCAATTTTAACAATCAGTAGAGCTGTATTGGTATATAACACATGAATATTACTCAGTCCTGGTTTGGAGGATAAAAGGAATGAGGAGGCCAATGACCAACTAACTTTGTACTAAACCATGGCTAACTTAAACCTCTTTTACACCAGTTGTATAACTACATGGTTGTAAACTACTGGCTACAAGCAGAACTCAGCAAACTGTAGGTGTGCATAACCAAAAATTCAGAGCACCACTGGAAAGAGCAGTTGGGGGCTGGGATGTTCCCTTCAGCCAATAAATTAGTAACATAACTTTGTATAATAACTATATCAATATATTCACATATCAAATTATAGAAAGAAGAGAATTCTTCAAGTCATTTTATTATTTCTAGAATGTCAAAAAATCCAAATCTGTCTTTACAATCTTACTCACCTGCCACTCTCTCATCCGTTTCCCTGTTACCATCATCTGAATATCTTGCAAAGTCTAAAGAATCAAGGGTACTGATGCTCCCAGCTCGATCTGTAATAAACCAAAAAAAAAAAATAGAATTAAACAGATTTTTAACTGCCAAAATAAGGGATTGGAAATCAATTAGCTAAGATTTTTTTTTCCAGTGAATAAACTGTGACTCTAAGATATAGGAATTCTATTAAAACAATAAGGTAAAAATGCTCATACCAATTAAGCTACTTTGAAGTAACTCATGTTTCCCTGCCCAGATCTCTAACTAACTCCTGAATAATGGACACACAGGATATAATGCAAGCCCAGCTAAGAACAACAAAACTGTAAACAGTTTGAATTTTATTCCAAGTACAATGGAAAACAACAAAAACACATACATTTTTGGAAAATCATTTTGGCTGCTGTAAGGAAAGTGATTTGTAGAGCGACCAGTTAAGAGGCTACTATGTAAATCAATTACACTTTAATATAAAATAACAATTAAAAAAAAGAGGCTATTAGAGTCATGTAGGTGAGAGATGATCACATTTGGCCTAGAATAGAGGCAGTAGAAATGTGAGAAGTGGTCAGGGTTATTTTTTGGTGTAGAACCAACATGTCCTGGTAGTGAAATGGATGTGGGTTTAAGTAAAAGAAAGTAAACAAGATAATTCCTAAAGACTTCATTTATTGAATTTGTAATATGGGATGCAAAAGGCAAATGAAGGGGTTTCAAGAGTTCTGTGTTTTAAGTGCATGGTGGTAGTGGGGAGTGTCCCTAGCTTTTGCCAGATTTTTAAGTGTCCCTAAACAGAAAAACACGATGTAAACATTCTCACTTAAAGGAAGAAATCAATGCTGATACTCACTAAAGGAGATCTAGCTAGCTAATGCAAAGAAGGGACAAATGAGAGGCTAGGTCAACTCATTCTATTAAATCGTGCTACTTACATAGTGTCTACTGTTTATATATTGCTCTAAGGAATAGATTATCTGTGTTTAGAAAGCACAGTCTGGACAAATGAATGCAAGTTACAGAAATAAAGATTTGAACTCCACGTAGGGCTCCCTCACCTCCTTTTAAAACAATTAGTACATGCCAATAATTGAAATGGTTGACTCTTCAAATACAGCTATGTCATTATCAATGTACCACTTATCTTTAAATTCCTATTAAGTGAAATTCTATATATAGTACTCTTCCGAGAACACTGTGTTTCTATTCACAGAAGCATTTAATTCCCCTGCAATTTAATTATATCTGATAAATAACAACTTGCTATTAACTTAAGTTTTAAGACAGCATAAACAAATAACAGAAAATCAAGTATTACAGTACCATTCATTAGAGCATAATTTATTTTAAGCATAAACCAAGAAACACCAAATAACAATAGTAACCACAGAAATCTAGAAAGTTCATATTAAATATAGGCTGAACTCAGGAACATTACTCAGCAATTAAAAAAAAACTATTGAGATATATGCCACAACATGACTGAATCTCAATGCTTTATGCTGAATGATAGAAGCCTTACGCAGAGTATATAATGTATAATTTCATTTACATGAACTCTTAGAATAGGCAGTAGTAATTTATGGTAGAAAAAAATCATTATAGTGGTTCTTGGAGTGGGGGGCTGAAAGGGGTGGGGACTGACTGACCGGGAAGGAGCATGAGGGAACTTTCTGGGGTGACAGTAATGTTCTATAAATTGACAGGAGTTTGGGTATCATGAACTGTTAAGTATGATGTTGGTTGTTGATTCTGGATAAATATTTTTCTATTATGTTAAGTATCTATCTAATGTTAGTTTTCTAAGTGTTTTCTAGTATTTTCAATCACACATACAAGCCTAGGTTAGAGTATTTTCAATCACACATACAGGCCTAGGTTAGAGCCTATTTGATCACCATATATTATTCCTCCATTATACTGTTACTATTTCTCTAAAAGTTTCAAAGAAATCACCTATGCAATAGGAAGAGTTCTTGGGGAAAGCAAACACTGCTTAATTTTTGACTTGGTATTATTATGGCCATTGAAAAATATATTCTAATTATTTTTTTTAGTTCCAAGCCAACAATTTTATATTCTCCAAGAAAAAAATTCTAATGTCTTTTTAACTAACAATAACTATAGTATCATAAAAGTAAAAAAAAAAATCTCCTAATTTATTAAAATTTATTCCATGTCAGAAAAAAATTATAGAAGGAAGTAATTTTAACTTTGATGGGGCTAACGTATAACAGATTTTGTACATAAAATGTACTTTGGAATTTAAGACTAATAGGTAATATTACAGCTCCTAGACAAATATGCACAATTCTTTTCCAGGGCAAGCACATGCCTTTCCAAATACTCTAATATAAAAGAGGAAGAGTTTGGAAAAATTAGCCTCTTTTATTAAGAAAGACGCTACTACCACTTTCTAATATAAAGTATACCACAAAGCCTTTCTTCAAATTCCAAGATTGTGTAACTTCTTAGTAATTCACTTTACAACTCAGAAACCGAATGATCAGGGACTTTCATCATAGTTGGCAAACAAGTAAAACCTGTATGTAAGTTTTACTAGGTCTGAAAACTAAAACCATTATACACAGTGTGACTATAAGGCATGCAGACTGATTTTATAAATCACATATGAGAGTAGTCTTATTTATATATACATTTAATCTTTTAGTACTAATGACAGAAGGTAACTTTTACGATAGTTAAAAAAATGAGTTTCAGACCCTTGAAAAGGTATCTGTCATGGAAATTATATAGCACTTTAAAAGCTAAGTGTACCAGGAAAATTGATCAGCTCCTGACTGGTAAAGAGCATTGGTTAATTCAGTGAACATTTAGTGAACAACTATAATGTACCAGGTTACCGACAGGAAGCTACAATAAAATATTGAATAATAATTTTTAAAGGTTATAGATATAACTGACTCCAAGAAGTAGAGTTAAAATTTTTCAATACATACTCCTCTCTATACTGCTTGAATTTTTTTATTTGTGCTTTGGTATTTTTTCCCCAAACACAGTTAATACCTTTTATGATATGGGCATTTTATATTAAAAAGTCACAAAAGTACCCAGTTCACAGTTAGATAGTCCAACCCCTCCATCAACCCCAGTTTGATGAGAAAACTGAACCGTGTATTCATTCAATGCATATTTACTAATCCATGGTAGGGAGTAGAAAGATAAAATTCAGTAAGACTTGGTTCTTGCCTTAATAAGTTTATAAACCACTGTAGTTTCGTGCTGTAAACAGATAACGATAGTAAAGTTAGACTACTTTATGTTAAAGGTTAAGCAAATTAACCTGTGAGCAAGCTAGGGGTACAATGTAAGTCTCCCAGTTTGCAGTCCACTGTCTTTTCTGTCACAAGATTACACTGAGTTAAATGTCAAATCAAAAGGCTTAAACTTAGGAAGAGACTTGAACACTGAAATTTTATTGACAAACTATTCACTGAAATTAAAATTTCTATAATGCTGGATGATTTTACCATATGAACAGCTATCAGGTTAAAAGGAAGATTATTATTAATAACAGCATTAGTCATTATATTGAAGATTTTCTGACCACTTATTCTGTGCCAGATATTTTTCATAGATAACCTTATTTAACCTTCGTGACAGCCCCCTGCAAGAGGAGTCATTACCTTCCATATTTTACAGTAAAGGAAACAGAGACTGTCCCAGAGATACGCAGCTAGGAAGTAGCAGAGTAAAAATATGAACTCAAGCTCTCTGATGCCAAAGCCTGAGCTCTAAACCATTAGTTCCCTTGAACAATATGTAAAAGCATGCAGGTTCAGATCTCCTAGATTCCAGCTAAGTTAGGCTTGATACCGTGAAAGGCCTCAGAAAGATCAGCCTGGACTCAACTTTCCTCAGGCTATACAGGGAAAAGCTAATTTCACACGGAATATTCCAAACTTACATATTTATAGGATCCCATTACCTAAAGATCATTTCTTTAACATAACATCAACATTTTTTCAAAGCCTTATTTGCCAGGCACAATATTACGCACTGGTGACAGAAAGATAAATAAAATATGGTCTCTTTTCTATATGCATGCTAAATAAACATTTATATATTGCCTACTTTAGGCATTTGTGCCAGGTGTGAAAGAAGTCAAAGATATATGAGACAGGAACTCCAACAAACATCTTAAAAAAAAATCCAGTCAGCTAAAACATTAACATATACAAAAATTTCAATAACACTAACACAGTCACAAGTTTCCATATAATTAATCTCCATAAGTGAGACAGACAAAAAATACCACAAGTTCAGGGGATTTAGAGATCACTATGTGCTGGAGAAGCTTCAGGGAGAGAGGAAGGAACATAAACTGGACCTTCCCTTAAGGATATACAGAATCTGGAAAAAACAAAAGGAGGATGGAGGAAAAGAATTCCAAGAGAAGGAAAAATAATATGGCCAAAGGCACTGAGATAGGAATATATAAAACATGTTCAAGGGACATTGAGTAAACAATGTGAGTACACCAATGGTTGGTATATGACAACAGGGTTGAAAAGGTAGGAAGAAGCAAAATTACAGGGAGAACTTTATGATGCACACTTATAATAACATATTTCAAAGTCATTTTTATCATATACTATGCAAAAATGGGAAAAAATAAAATTCTTAAAAAGAATTAAATTCTTGTTTCTGCAATATATAATTTTGCTAATAAAAAAAGAGTTCAAAAAAGTTGCCTTGGACAGCAGAAAGCAATGTTAAAAGGTTTTAGCTGCAGTGACAGGAATGAATAGCTTTTAAAATCAATTAAGAATAAGGATGGAGGAAAAGTTTAAAGGCACAGGAACCAGTTATAAGGCTAAAACTGAGGGTCCAGATGTAAGCTAAAGGCCTGAACTAAGGCAGCACACAAGCACAGGGCTGATGGATGGTTAGAAAGAACATAGACAATACGATGACACTACCTTGAGCAATCTAAGCCACCTAACCAGGACCAGCTGGTTTCAAAAACAAATGAACACCATTTCTTACTGCTGGGGAGTTTTGAAATAATAGGTGGGAATATCTGGAAGAAGGTTAC